GACTGATGATTTCGATTATAACTCATCGGAATATGCCATGTAATTCTTATTTTTGGGGGAACAAATGGAACTGCTTTTTTTCTTGATCTTATGCACGGTGATATCATTCAAATTAAGATATTGATAAAATTTTCGAGAAGATTACACTTCATCGATCAAGATATCGGTAAACCTTTTGAAAAAATTACACCATAATTTTAATTTTCACATGTATTATAATGGATAGCGTATATACAACAAGAAATGTCAACAAACATGCATAAATAACACATAGTATGAAAAATTGAATATAATCAGAAATAAAAATACAATACTTTAAAGTGTCGTATTTCAGAAACTAGAAAAGTTTGCAAGTGATTCAAAGTGCACATGATTTAGAGGACTCTATCCACTATAATATATATGAAAATCAAAGAGAGAAAGAGAAAGAGGAGAGAGAAAAAGAGAGAGAGAGAGTGATCGGTGAAAGATTTTCCGCTGGAATCATTTTTTTTTGTTCTAATTTTCTGCAACTTTTCAATATCAAGATAACGAAAATAATATTTCCTCTTTATGAATTATGTGACTGAACATTATTCATGATAAAGTATACTTTCATGATGGCGCGACAAAAAAAGGTATAAGGTCCCCAAAATAATATAGGACGACGCGTAATAAAACATGAGTTTAGCCTTGCGATGTATCGGTGCAGCGATGCCGAAAATAGTTCGTGTAGAGGGAAAAGATGTTGGACACAGACGGAAACCACTGAAAAGTTTATACGGTTTCCTGTAAAATCGTTTCTCCAAATACATATTTAAAATCTCCATACGGTGACATATGTTTCTTTTTATATGGACGAAACATTCTATTAGTTTATACATTTTCCTCAAAAATCTATAATGAATGTATTTTCATCACTTTCTACTACTGTTTTAGTAAATGCTTTTTTCATAATGCGAACAAATGTTATATTATTAATGCATATTTATACAAACTTTTACAGATAAGTCGTGAATTTTTGCTTCAAGAATAAACTTTACACAGATTACAAAAATTCTGTTTCTTTTTCTATTTGATATGATAACATTTTTAATGTCAATCAAAGAGACAATAATTATGGTCAAATATATATGACATAACAACAGCGTCTTGCGTTTGACAATTGTGAGATGCCCCGAAAATTTAATTAATTAACGTTATACGATTTCATCGATGAAATTAATATATTTTGCAAATATATATCATAATTATTTATATATTAATTTTTCTTGCTGAGTATATTGTTGTCTATCATGTCTTATGGTTCTATCAAAATAATTGTAAATGCATATACGTGTATTGTATATTTATATATAAAAACTGCACACATTGTTTTGCAAAAGGTCGCAAATATCGATAATATTAACACATTAAATTTTAACTACTAAAATTCTATAATGTAATCATCAATACTGCGATATCTTCATATCATTTCGCAAGAAGCTAGAAAAAGGCGGAGACGAATTGCATGTATGGTGCACGCATTGGACAAACTTCAATTGTTCAGTGCCGAGAATAAGCATAATATGACAATAAGCAACATGAGACTACATGTAGAATTCGCGTAGGTAGTTACTGACATTTTCAAATGTCAAACTTTCTCACAATGCGCTATTTATCATTTGGATTGCTATAGATTTGTGTATCGGACATTGAGCAACAGAAAAAAAAATTTTTCTTAAAAAATTTAGCTTTCAAAAATGAGATCAATTACATTTCGCTAAATTAGTTATATTCCGGTAAATTATTGCTATTAACATTGTTGTACCTATAGTGATGGTTCTGCGATGTATTTAATTAATAATATTATTTTCGATGCGATAATTTCCGCTGTAATGTAATTTTTAAATCATTATTTAGGATATATAATAAAAATTATATTTTATTATGACATAAAATCAAATATATCATACGGACATGATAGACATGATAGACAACAATATACTCAGCGAGAAAAATTGATATATAAATACGTCGATTAAGAAATTAATCGATTCTAAAAGACACTTTTATGTAGCAAACACCTAATTTTTCACACTTGCAACAATTTTTGAATGCTTGTAAGTAAATACCCACGACATATGTGACAATTCATCAAGACCACAGATTACAAGCTACAATAAGACGTATGCGCGTAGAACAAAAAAAATAAATTTTTTTTTATCGCCTTCTCCTCCCATAGCATGTGTAACAATTACTATGTTATCTAACTTATTAGTTAACAACTTAAACCGTCTTCAGTTTTAGCGCATAATCATTGAAACACATTGATAAATCTGATTGTGTTAATTTCACATATCGTGCGTGCGAGTTGTGTCAATCATAAAATATTGATTTAATATGTGAGAGAGATATGCATGCCATATATCTACATTATTTAAGAAAAAAAAATAGATCAATCAAAATCGTACTTATAATCGAAAATATTGATGAGGAATCTGAGGTGACATGCTAAACAATATGTGGAAAATAATAATGAGAAATCTAAGTTGACATGTTGAATAATATAAGAAAAAGTTCTATGTGAGAGTTAATTTTTTTAGGGATAATTTATAATTTAATCTTATAGATTTGATTACAGGAGATTTTGTTTATCGTAACTTCCCTAAATATTTTCGTTGCATTTTATGATATAAAAATATATTTCTGAAAAAGAAATTATATTTGAAAGCAAGGAATATTTTATAGTCTCGAATCTTTTTAAGATTGCAACTTCCGCTATATATATATATTTAAAAGTTATCAAAATATTTTGTAGAAGTATTATATTAATATATTCTTTACAATAACTTCTTACTCTATTACGATTAAATAAATAATTTACAAATACTTTATATTTTTATTTAAGAATATGTCAGAGAATTAAATATAAAGTATAGTTTATAAAGCTTATAAAATATTCATTTTTTACAATCTCTTTCTAATACTTTATATATTATTTTAATCAAAGAAAATTTCAATAAAATCTTATAATGTTAGAAATCATGATTAAACAAAGTTCTCGTTCTTTATGAAGATATTTAGACCAATAATGACAAACAAGGAACATTCTGCGTTCCTTCACGGATAAAGCATTAAGAAAGAAATAAACTCAAGAATTATAAAAAAGTATAAAATAAAATATGAGTATAAAAAAATTTTAGCAAATTAAAATGTTATTAATAGTTACATTAAAATAGTATAAAGAAAAAAAAACTTATCATAACGTTATTGTCTTTATCATTATGCTGTAATAATGGCATATTACGATAAGAGTTATATCAGTTGTTGCTACTATATGATTAGATGATACAAATGTATTACATTTATTTTTATAAATAAATAATAACATAACTCATCTCGCCGGCCAAGGTAACTGCCTTACTAAGCACAGAGGGGATATAATTGCAATTTAGATATTTTAAAAATATATTATAATACTTTTATTAATAATAAAATTTTTAATATTTAGATGATGTTAAGCACGGCAATATGATTTTTTTTTATATCTATCATACGCGCTTTAAAAGACTAAGTAACATATTTTATTCTTCATCTAAATATGCAATTAATTCTATATATATATTCAGTAGAGCAGCAACTTATTCACGAAACAAATGGCTGTCTGAAATCACGAAGGGATCATAGAACCTTACCAGGTCTCCTATAGGCCGCGAAATGTGCAAATCTTCTGATCGCGCCGGTCAGAACGCGCCGATCAATAGGAAGCAAGAAGGCACATGTCCCGGTGGCTTCTCACACCATGGTGGTCACAAGATCAACATCGCGCATTTCCGACAGCATCGCTCGACGACATCACGCGTCGTCAGCGAGCCGAGCGGGCGATGGCAGTTTTAGCGCACCAGATCTTGCCAACGCTTTAAATTTACGACGCGACAGATTTCCGTTGCTTTACGAGGATTTATGCGATCATATGAGAGGCTGGGGCTAACGATAGGATGGAATCGTGGCAATAACGATGCCGACGTCAGCGACGAGGCGTGACACGCAGCGCGAAAGCCGAGAAAAGTCGGGACACTGGCCTGACATCGGCGGGACCGTCGACCCGGTGCAGCGGCTTTTATTACGCGACGACGCACTGCGCCGACGTCACAGCGACGACGACGTCGTCGTCGTCGTCAAGGTGACGCGACGGCGCGCGCCGGAGCCTTTTCTCATGCGCGCGTACCAGCCGAATCGATTCTTTGAATGCAGCTATCGAGATATCGAGGTGCAAAACGAGTGTCATGGCGCGAAAATTTCGAGCGAGTTTATACATACATCAAACGGACATTAGTCATCTATATGTGCAAAATATTACGATAAAAATATTAAAATGTGAAACTGTATATTATCCAAACTGGATAAGAACGACTTATGAGATTAATAGTTATTATTTAAATATTGTTTAATTATTATTTTATTTAAGAATTGTTTAATTATTATTTTATTTAAATATTTGTATATATGTATTTTTTGATATAAATATAGAACGTTCCAAAATATATTTTCTAATAAAAAATTTTTTAAAACATAATATAAATCAATAAAGATATATTTATTATATGTACGTGTACACATTCATATATCCATACGTATATACATACATAGGTATATAAAGACATATATGTATTTGCAGTTTTATATATTAGCAGACTTGATGCACTATAAGTCATTAAATTTAATACTTTTTTATAAAGAAATGTCGATATGTGAATTATGTACAATTAAATTATATGTATTATAAAATTAAATTTCAACATATCAGCTATTATAAATAATAAACTAATAAATAAAATTTTAATAAATTGAATAATTATTCATATTATTAAATAGAGTCCACTATAACATATACCTATGTACATATATAATACATATAACATTTTAGTATGTAATTACATTAAATATAATATATTTAATAACACATACATGAGATATAATATATAATAAATATTTGTATGCATTTATAATAACAATTTAATTTAAATTTATATATATATATATATATATATATATAATATATATTTTAATGTCTTGACTTCTATGTTATATGCCAATTTTCATTAAATTAAAAAAAAAATTCCTAAAAGTAGAAATTTTTAATACATTATACAATAATAGCAATTGTATATTTAATGACATCTTTTTAATTCATTGGTGTCCGTGTAACAGACGTTTTTAGCTAAATTTCTTAAGTCCAACTTTTCACCATACATTTTTGCTTCCAAAATTGTTAATCGATTCTTGTGTATTACAGCCAAACAATGTCTTTTCTCTAGATTAGTGTGTTTTCTTATTTTAAAATTATATAACTTATCAACCTTTATTTTAATAACATTTTTATGTACGAAGCCTTCGATACCTTGTAAAAAATTATAAAAATACGTAATATATAATTGTATAATTTTATATAATAATTAAATAAATATCTTTCTTTAACTTTCTTACAATTTTTCAATTCTACAATATAGACTTACCTCTATATTCGTAAATCTGGATAGTATCATCATTTTCTACAAAAATAAATAATGTTTCGACAAGTCCATCAAAATTCAGGATCAAAAACCATTTCGGCAGACGTGCTTTTATTGTCTGCAAGATCTTTGTTTGCGAGATGTCATTTCTGTACAACTAAATAAAACAATATAACCAAATGAACATATATCAGTATACTATAGAATAATATTTAATTTTATGCAATAAATCCTGATTTTCTATATATTGACATATATAAATGGCTATATAAAATTAATTGTATAATAATAAATAAATAAAAATTTTTTTGAACTTACAAATATATAATCCTGGCTGACTTCTTTGTCGTAGTAAATGTATTCTTCTTCTTCATAAATACCTACTTTAAAACTTAGTATGCTGTTACAATCAAGACAAGCTTTTACATCTGTGTTATTAGAAGATCTTCCTTGTAATTCGTAAATTAAAGATTGATTAACGGAGACAATTGGATCAGTATTTGACATCAAATTTAATTTTTTATTCTTATTTTTATATGAGATAAGAGTCTTTAATATATCTGATTGAATCTCTTCTGGAGCACTTCCAAGATTTTCATTGGTCATTGCTACAAAAACATCTTGATATAAATCCATAATATCGCTAGCATTACCAAGTTCCAATACATGCTGTAAAAAAGAAGATAAAATAAAAAAACCAAAAAAGCTGAACTTAATCTAAGCAAAAATTATATTATATTTTATAAGCATTTTTTATTTTGTCATTGAAAACATATTACTGTATTACAATAAACTCACCATTAATCTATTATTTTCCAATTTCCATATATTATTAAGACTTCTACCGCAGATGTGTTTTGCGATGGTAAGCAAATATAAAGAGCGATTTGACTTAAAAAAAATCCATTTATCAATTAATCCAAAATCGGATACTTCGTCGACCACTTGAAAATCGGTCTGAGTATACAGTATAAGTTTTATACGGCAGGTATCATAATTTACTAATATATAATCAAAATTATCAAATTCAATAGTACGGATATCATGAATATCTCCTTCAAATTCCTGAATTTTTAAGTAATCAAATGTATTGAATTTGTATATCTGATTTATAGCATTGCATTTAAGCATGTCTAAATGTAATGCACACAAATTATTTAGATCCATCTGCAAAATAAAGTTATATTAAGAGCGTAAAACAAGATATAGCTGTAAAATTAAATTTTGATGAAACATGCTGATTTTAATATAAGATGAGTTTATAAAAAATAAATGTTATAGTAATTACAAAAAAATGTTATTGTTTTATTTGTCAACTATTATTGAATGTTATCGTATAAAAACGCATTTAATATAAAAAATGATATGTTGTCAAATGTCTTGAAATAAAAATAATTTTCTTACGTGTGTTTCATCGATGATATGATCCATTTGAGGGTGTTCCTGTGATAAAGCAGTTGATATTTCCGTGACATTAACTCCATTCAAAAATTCACTTCCGTCAATATTTTCTTCGAAATGGATATTTCCATGTATTTTCCACTTTCCAGATATAATCTGCTTTGCTTCATTTGTTGTCTTAATTGCAACACCTTGCCAATTAATTGGATTTATTCCGTTTAAAAGACCCAAAATTCTAAGACTTTTATCAAGGACAACTGGAGTTTTGAACATGAAGTTTCCTAAAAAAGTTAAGCAAACGTGTTATTTATATGTATTAATTGCCTATATCTCTTTGAAAGAAATTACAAATGAAGTGAAAATATGGAGGAAAAGAAATAGAAAGATGTGAGAAATGTGCAAAAAAGTATGGAAAGGAGAAGATTGTCCAGAAATATGGAAAGAAGGACTCATCGATTGTGAAGAAGGGAGAGGGTGAAAAAGTATTGAATTATAGAGGGATTACATACATTAATATCAACACTGTATAAAATTTATCCTTTGATACTGGTGGTAGATTGAAAGGAGAAGTGGAAAAGAAGGAAATAATACCGGAAAATTAGATGGGATTTAAGAAAGAAAAGAGGGTGATGGACAATATATACGTGCCAAACTATCTAATGCAAAAGAAAATTGGTAAATTAAAAAGAGTTTAGTAAATTTATTTATCGATTTAAGTGCAGCCTTTGACTCGATGGGGAAATATTGATAAGGGAAAGAAATGTACAAAAAGATTTGATACAAAGGATAGATGATATTATGAAGGAAAAGCAGGGTAAGGGTAGAGGAAAATGAGCAAAAAATTTTAGACAGGAAGAAGGATGAGGCAAGAATGTCCGCGCTAAGTCCATTATTATTTAATATAGTGTTGACGGACTTGGAAGAAACTATGGCTAGAAAAAGATGAGAGGGAGTAAAGTTGAGAGAGGGATAGGGGTATACTCACTAACGTACGTGGACGACAATTTTTGTTGTTAGACGAACTTCAAAATTTTCAAACATTAAGGGTAAAGGGAGGATTTAAAATATTTGACATTTTTGAAAAATCTAATTTCATTTTTGTGACACCATGTACGACCATATATGTACATATAACATATTTATGAGCTGCTTACCGGTTAAAGTGTCATTGGCGATTACAGAAACAATTTGCTTAGGATTAAAGCTATTGATGAGATATGCATTAAAGTCATGATATGTGTAAACATTTCCTCGAATCTTTATGTGTCCCGAAATATTTTGATTGTCGTATATCTGTAAAAAAAATTATTTTTTATTATTTTCGATCTTTTATTATATAGTATTAAAATTTTGATATAAATTGTGTATTTGAAAAAATAAAATAGACAATCGTATATAAAATAACATTATTTAAAAAAATTGTAAAATATAATACATGATTAAAATGTGAATATAAATTGTACATATGTTTATGTTAATTTATATTAAAACATTTTCATAATATATATATTTTAATCACTAAAAATATATATGTATAAAACGATAAAATTGTTATTCTACTTTGATGTTTATATTATACCAAAAAAGTGTTTGTATAAATATCTTCTAGATAATAGTTGTTAACATGTCCTGATATTTGTATGTTTTTAACGGTGGCATTAGTACAATTAAGTCTATCAACTATGATGGACTGTTTCGTGTGCAATGGAATCAACATATCCATTTTTAAGTCATTGACTTGTTCAACTTTTACGCCTGCTTGAAAAGTCACATTATCCATTGTAATCCGTTCTAAAATATAAATCGTTTCTTATTATGCAGAAAAATCGTCCGATGATATTTTTATTTATTTAACGGATTGTTAAAAAACTTTCAATTATTATTTGCTCGTATTTACATATAATTTTTTTTATGTGTAAACATAATTACCTGAAAAATAGCTAAGTTTATTAAGATCAATAACATTCTCCTGCAAATCTTTTATATCGACTTTCATGATGGTACTTGATTGTAATTCTGTTTTTACTACGAGAGCATTTCGTATGTAAACATCCTCTTTAAACATAACTTTAATATTAATCGAGAAAGGTTTATCAATATAAACAGCATTTTTGTGAAATCTGTTTAAATCTAAGTTATTTAAACTGCCATCAATGATAAATGCGCTATTAAACGTAATTGGACTTTTAAATACTTTCGATCCAGACACTGTAATATTCACATCATTTTTAAAGATTGCTCTCTCCAAAAAACTGTCAAACATTGATCCTTGAATTGATCCACTTGTATTCAGTCTTGTTATGGAACTGGTTTCATTGAAATAAAAGTTACCGCGAAGAACATAAGAGTTATTTCCACGTGATTCAAATCTATTTGTGAAATCATGTAAAAATACATTTCCAATCTTGCCAGTTGTATTGAAATTTCTTAAAACAGTGACCCAGCCTAAAAAAATTAAATTTGTATTAATAATTTGTTAGTTATGATAATTATCTGTTATAATTATAACAATAATAAAAATAATCACTAAAAAAAAAACAAATGCAATTATATAAAATAACACAAATAAAATTTCATTGCAATGACATGTTTAACTCTAATAAGCAAAAGAAGAAAAGAAAAGAAAAAAAAGAGTAAGTACACATAAAAAGTATATGTATATCTAATAAATATATATGATTTGTCAATATATTAGTATAATAATTTCTAAAATTTTTCAAGATTATGTTTGAGAATAAAATTATATAGACTATTAAAAACATAGAAACATTTAAAAACTTTTGTTTATATATGTAACATACCATTTATAACAACTGGTCCTTTCAGTATCTGCTCTTTATTGGGATCTAAGATATTTTCTACAAAGTGGCCATTTATAAATTGCGTTTTCAAAAACTCACACGTAACATTTTCGAATGTTTTGTAGCCTATAAATGTAACATTTCTGTCGGCTTTTTGTACAGCGTCAATAACGAATTCAGATAGATTTAAACCGTTTACGAAGCCAATCACTGTTAGGTTTTTAACCGATATGTTTTTATTGAAAATTACAGTCCCCATGGTATCTTTCTTGTAAACGTTAACGATATCATTTTCATTTATCAAAGATGCTGTTAACATCCCTGTCACTCGAAGTGATTTTATTGACGCATTTCCGTTGAAAATGTCATTATGAAATGCTAATAATCGATTTAATTTATTCAATGGCATTCCATTGATGATTTCGGCGTTCAAGACATTGGTTTCTAAATTGTCAATTATTAAAGTTCCTGTCAAATTTTGTTGCGTGGAGATTGTTAAGATGCGTTTACTCAAATCAGTGTAATTGATATAATTGATTGTGTTCGGCAAGATTTCTTCGGCTATTAATGTTGAGAGTGTCAAATTTTCGATATACGGTTTTTGGAAAGTTTGATTTAATTTATCAAAGAAAGCAGTCTGCGTGATATTTTGCTTTAGAGTATCAAAAGATAAGTTATCAATGATACATGATCTAATAAAAAATAATACTTTGTTTAAGCAAGCAGAAGTAACATTTTGTTCGCGGGTTATATAATCTTCTAACTTCTTCAACATGCCAAAAGTTACATTTCCCAACATGACATTTGCCGATATTTTTTTCAAATCTAAAATAAATAAAATAATATTATAAGAATAAAATTGTAGAATAATGTAAATAAAAATAAGTATCTTTATAATTATTTTGATTATTATTTTTTCTTTGATAAAAGAGAGAGAAAGAGAAAATTATTTGTTTATATATTAAAAGTAATATTATAAATCTTTTTATTTTATAAATTTACTATTGCAAAAATAAAATAAAAAATAAAGCATTAGAAAAAAACATGTTTGTTTTTTATATTATGCTTCAGTATGAAAAATGTATATATATGTATATTTAATTTTTTTATGCATGCAATTAACAATTATAAATAATGTTTATTAACTATATAATTAATACTTACAAGGAAACTTTTGATCGGTATTTAGCGTTACAAATTCTGAGAATAAGTGATTATTAATTTGTCCGGATTTAATTGTTGCGTTAGTTTTTATATAAATGCCATTCAAGAACTTTTTATTTCCAGTAATTAATGCATTCTCTTCAGTTTTCAACAAAATATCATCAAAATCTGACCACATATTAGCATTAATTGAATCTTGGAGTACAATGTTTCCCATCACAATCAGATTTTCAAAGATAACATCTGATGAAAGCCTATCGGTTTCATTGAGCAACTTCTCTATGTTACTTATGTTAATACCCGTTACATTGCCGTCAATCTAAAATTGTGACATCATGTTTTTATACTTAATTGCAAAATATATTTATCAAATTGTACCTGAAAAGTTCCACCAATCTCCAGGTTCTCAAAAGTAATTTCATGATCAATGACTTCGTGTCTGCTAAGAATAATGAAATCATCAATACTTATATTATTTATTGTATTGATGCTCAATAAATGTGTTGTAGACAGGTTGGCAAAGTATTTTTCACCCGTAACATTGATAGAATATTTATTATTAATTAGAACGTAATCTTTTGGGTATTGTAAATAATTCAGATTTTTTATATTGACCTCGTCGGCGATAAGCTCCTGGAAGAAATTATCTTTTATTAAAGAAAAAGTTATAAAAGTTCGATTCTGGTACAAAACGTTTGGTAAATTGTGATAAATCGTAAACAAGCATCGATTTTTCGCAAAAAGAGAAATAAGATATTGTATAAAATAAATCTCTACTTTTATTAATTATGTTAAATAGAAAAATATTACTTTTACTTAAAAAACCATTTTTCTTGAAAACTACGTGAAGCATAAAAATAAAATTACAATAAAATTTCAGAGAAAGGAATCTCCAATAATATATGTTGTTAAGGTGATAATATCCTAAGTAATTTTTAAAAAGAAATTTATGATTGTACGTAATTATATTGCCTTACCCCTTCCACGATTGTCTCTCCTGGAATAATTATTGATTCATCTTTCCATACTATACTTTGCATTAGATTCTTCCATTTAACATTATTTATCTCGGAAAAGTTTAAGTGTCCATTAATCTCTAATCGTTTTAATTTTGAAAAATCAGTGTTGTTATAATTTTTGATTGTAGTATCGAAAACAATTTCTTCCAATGGAACGCCATTCAAAGAGAAAACCGTCAAGTTATTAGTATCAATGGAAAGAAAAAATTTTTGGCCGTCAATAACAGAAGCGTGATCTACAATATTCTTTGCTGCAAATGAAGTTGATGCGTTATTTACAAAAGCAGCAGTTATATTTTTCGCATGCAGAGTTCCAGTCACTAGAAAATTTCCATTTAATTCAATATCCGAGGATAAGTTAATTGTCGTCGAATTAGTTATATTTTTCAAATCCAATAAGGTTTGATTAAGCTTTATTTCAAGTTCCTCTAGTTTCTTTAAACTTGATGTCACATTTGTCATCATGTCTTCCATTTCTAAGTCGATTAAACCGACTTTGACAGCGCCATAATTTACATTTCTTTCGATTGTAGCATTCGACACATCCACTTCTGAAAAATTCCAAAATCCTGATATGGAATTTTTAAAGTAACTTTGATTCAAGTGTGCTTCAGTCTCGTCAAAGATGACTTCCTGTTTTCGAAAAATCTCCTGAAAGCATTTTATTTTATAAGAATTTAAAATTATAAAATTTCTCGATAAAAATAATATTTAAAATAAACATAAACTAACATAGAATAACATATATGTCCTACATATTTATATATTTTAATGCATTGTAAAAAATAGTTATTTAACTGCTTAAAACATTTATTTATAATTATGTACAAAATATATAATTATGTATAAATATAATACATGATTATATAAAATATTATACATAAGAAAAACAAATTATGCAAACATAAGTACCTCCAACAGAGCTCGCGTCTTTAACATGCTTTTCGTCTCCTTGTGAATAGGATGCTCTAATTCATTCAAGGCCACTTCTATACGTACGAGTACGTTTGCATGGATAAATCCAACTTTTGGAATAATGACGATTTTTGACAGATCAAAATTATTCAAAATTTGATTAGGTAAAACTACTGTCTTAAACTTTAATCCTTGCCAAGCCAAGGCGATTACTGACAAGTTTTTAAATTGAACCAATAACAATGACTCATCCCGATATGTGTTCAGTGGTATAGTGGTAATCCAAGCAATTTCAGTAGTGTCTGTGAAATAAACATTACTTGTTTTAAAAAAATTACATTTTAGTTAAAAATTATCATCGGATTACCATTAAAATGCAGATCTGTTTCAATATTATCTTGAAACTCGTTCTCGGAAAAGCGAAATAAACGCGTTTTCTCTCCACCAATTGCTAGATATTCGATGTAACCACTCTCGAAGCAGACAAAATTTGTGAGCTTGTTAGATTTAATAGTTTCAAACTTTTCAAGTTGGCATAATGCGTGTTCAATTTTCGATTTATATAAAATAATGCTATCAATTCCTTGAAAGCCTAACATGGAGCGTCCATAAATCGAGCAGATTTGAATATCAAATACTTTTGAAACAAATAACCGCCGACAAAGCCTGCACAGTATAAATTTATTTATGTAGAAAATGTACCGTATTTATATTTATATCATTTTGCACATCGAGAAATATAATTTCAGTGTATATATATATATCGCAGACATAAAGAAA